TCGGAATTCGATACGGTAATGGCGCTGTTGGCGGACATTTATCAACTGATGTAGTGAATGTGGGTCGACATCAAGCAATAGTTCTATTTAATTTAAATTATTAATTATAAAAGTGTTCTAAAGAAACACATCACTTTTTGTTTTATAGATTGCAGGCATTGATATTCAAAATCAAACATTCTTGGAAGTAAAAGAGCAGCACGGAAAATCCTTCGAATATGCAAAATACGACGGAATTTTGGGACTGAGTTATCCAATATTATCTGCTGCAGGAGTGATTCCACTTTTTTCCAACATGATTAACCAACAGCTAGTGAAGAATCCAATTTTTAGTTTCTATATTGAACAGCACGTATATTTCTGTGTACATTACGCATGTCTAAAAAATATGTTTTCTCTTAAATAGTTTTCTTCTCATATTCAACATTTGTCTTTTCACATTAAACAATGTATAATCTATACAGAAATCCTAATATCCAATGGGATGGTGAACTGATATTGGGAGGCTCCGATAACAGATTATATTTAGGCGATTTTACGTATGTTGATGTTAGCAAAAAAGGATATTGGCAATTTACTTTGGATAAGTACGTTATTATTTTTTAAATTGCACGTACGTCAGCTACAAATTATATGCCAGATAAATATTAATGCTATTCCACTATAGGATTAAAATAAAAGATAAGGTTTTATGCGAAAATAGCTGTCAAGCCATTGTCGACACGGGTACTTCTCTGATAATTGGACCATCAACAGATGTCACAATTATTAATAGACTGATAGGAGCTGATCATTATAATTTTACGAGAGGAATATTTGTAAATAGTGACACTTATCACAACAACAGTTCTCTTTCAATATTAAATAAATTTAATAGATTATTGAAATATATTAATAGAAATTTGATATATTATTGGTTACACTAACACAATTTATTAATACTATTTATTAATACTTTTGTTTAAAGGTGAACTGCAACAAGATTTATAATTTGCCCAATATCGATTTCATCGTAGGTGGCTTTAGAAAACTCAGACTCTTTAGTGAAGATTATATTATTAAGGTAAATATCTTCAAATGTGTGACGGTTTAAATTTTCTTAGAATCGAAATGTCATGCCATATTTGATTCGTTATAGGAAATATATAACGATGAGATGGTGTGTATGAGCGCTTTCGTGAGTGATTATCAGGATGAGAGCAATCCAATGTGGACTTTGGGCGATGTATTTTTACGTCGGTATTATACCGAGTTCGACATGATGCATGACCGGATAGGATTTGCCTGTGCAATTTAATGTATAATAAGAAATTCGTTTCTCTTCACACATTTTTATAGATAAATGTTGGAAGATCTAACACAATAGTAGGCGAATTATTAAGATAAAGTTTATCGAACAATAATTTTTATTACTTTATGAATTTTTGTGATTGTCTATGCAGTTCTTAGATATGTACATGATATTTACGAAAATCACAATAGAAATGTATATATAATATTATTTTTATTAATGATTTAGTACAATCTATTTGTTTAGCATAATATTGTGTTATGACATGATATTATGAATATATCGGAGTCTATTAAAATAAAGTATACATTCCTGTCATATATTGTAAGTATGTTGATTTCATACATCGACCCTTCAATTTTATTTAAATATGATAATTCAAAAAATATTATTTCATACATCATAAACATTTGTCTTTTATATAAGTATCATTTTTAATATTTTTATTATAAATATTATAAATTTGCATTTAAACGTATTTTAAAAATTTACAAGTACAAGGAACTATAATATTACAGATAGTGCTGTATAAAATACGACGAAAAAAGATAATCGGACCGATATAAGAACTAGAATTTTTCAACACTAAAAACTACTTGCTTTTAAGTTACAGAAATTAATCATAATACAATATCAATGCACAATAATAATGTCTAATTCAATAATAAAAAAAAATGATTAGAACAGTAATTTATAATAGTTATAAGTATTCTGCGGATTGTATCATTTATACAACATTTCTCATTTTTCTCGCAAGAATCGATTTATAAAGAAATTTAGCATATTAGTATAATGACTAAACTTTACCGGATGTATGATTATGTCAACTTGATCTTAGATTTAATAATATTTTGATCCTTAATCTTATAATATAATTAGTATCCCTTATATAAGCAATGTTTGTTGAATTCTTAATGAATTCCTTACGTGATCTCTGCGTAGCGCGATACCATTACGGAATTTAGCATTCGTTTTAATTGATCCGGTTTCATCTTTATTATGATTAATTGAATTTTATAATCCTTAAAAGTGACCGCTTTATCGAAAACCAGATTTTTTTATATATTTTTGTTATATTTTGTTTATTTTTAAAGAAAATACAGTATTTATCGTATAAATTCTTTGGATTTCATAATAATACAGATTTTTTTACACAAGTAATATTATAGACTTTTCTACTCTTGTACATTTGTTAATTAACTTATAATTGCTTATTGGCTTATAATTAATTTTAAAGTCTATTTTTAAATTTATTAAACACATACCTTTTGGACGTATCTTATAATGCGAAAACAGAGTTCTAATTAAATGTTAATTATGAGTACATGTTTATGACTATGTGCAGTTATGTGTAATTACAATAATGTACTTTAAGTCAGCATAATAATTTAAGATGCTTTTATATAATTTATGTAATATAAAGTAACAAGCAAAAATATAAAATTCCATTTTGTTTTAAGACAATCAAAAATTAATATGTTTACAATGTGCTTTATCAAATGGAACGAAAGTATCCTTTTCATATTATATCACCGTTTGCATAAGTTATGATATCAAGGAAAACAGTACATACTTTCGAAGATTAATATTTCGTTTGTTTTTAATCATTAAATTTATTAAAATAAATTGAATAAATAATCATTGAATTTATTAAAATACATAATCATACTAATATTATATGTATAATCGAAATATGTACGAAAAGAATTTTTCAAAAAATTAATTAGAAATTAGATTAATGAAAAGAACTATTATAATCGCTTTTAGAACGCTTTGCGCCTTTTTTTGTCCTTCTCACACTTTTAAATAAAAACATGTACATATGTAAGTTCGTACCATGACGCTTTGCTTTTCATAGCGCCGTGTCTCCATACAAAGCAGCATCGCATATATACAATATATATAAGTGCTAATGATTGATTTTGTTTTCTGTGCGATTTGGCTGATTTGAGAAGAAGTTACAATGCCTCTGAAATCTTAATTTTTCTAGCTTTAATCATCAGAGAATTTGGGAAATATGTTTCGTTTTTTTGTTGCAGTCGCAATATTTGTACTAATCGACGCGAAATTGTTAAGGTGAGCAAATGTAAATGTTCATTGGCAATAAATGTTACGATTATTAGCACAAATCTGTAGAAAAAATATACTTTGTCCGAATAAAATCAGTAGGTAAAGAAGTTTGAGGTTTGCATTTTTATCGTCTTTATCATACACATCTTTAATCACGAATGAAGCAATTTACATTTAAAAGACCTAAACTTTATTCTGATGTGTGAAATAAATTTAATTCTTGATAGCAATTATTTCTTAATATCAAAATATTGAAGCTGTAATAGATCTTAAAAATATACAATATTTGAAGATGATTTTTTCAAAATTTATATGTATGTTATTTATACGTATATTGTATGATTTATATGTATATGCGTATTATTCGCTAAGTGGTACGTATTATATGTATAGGTATACGTATAATATAAATTAAATTTTCTTTATTGCTTTTTAAGAATTCCATTGAACAAGACACATTCTATTCAAAAATCTTTGAGAGGGTCTGACATCCACAGGTCGACAGGTTACTTTGACTCCGAATATTGGCATTGTAAGGCAACCTCTGTTTAATGATTATAATTCTGTGTACTATGTCATTATCTCAATTGGAACTCCACCGCAGAAGTTTAAAGTACAAATTAACACTGATTCCTCAGATCTCTGGGTACCATCCAAAAAATATCGTCTTAGTTGCTGTAAGTTATGGTTGTGTTTCAAAATTAACCGAAAAAAACCATTGAAAAATTATAATGTAGATTTTCAGTACTATACTAGCAGTGAATTTTTAAATACAGTCTGTATCATATAATCGCTATTTCTTTGATATTCTATTGTTTAAAATGCTTATTAGTATCATTATTAAAATTGACAATCAAAATGTGATTTGTGATATTATTTCCAGATTTAATTTATGATTACACTTTAAATTCGGCAAACCAAATTAGAGCGTAGTTTATAGAATTTAAAATTGTTTTCAGAAATTTTACATATAAAGCATTATTTAGCACCAAATTCATTTTAACCATTTTGAAAACTAGAATATTTCTTTTAATTTGATTTATTCTTTGGTTGAAATTTCACTTATAATCATTTTATTATTTATACAAATATATTTGTATTTAATATTCTTATTGCACATATGAAAATAATTTTAATTGTTTTTTTACTTTAATAATTATTAAGTATGATTCCAGAGAATTATATCTTTCTATTCACATTTCACGTGAAATTTTTTTAAACGGTTTGAAGTTTGAAAGTTCTAAGACTTTAAAAATAAAAATCATTAAATAGACAAATATTATGGTAGTATATATGTTCAAAATCAAGCGGTTTATTGTGTTTATTTTTTTGTTTGTTTATTTTATTTCATACTTATTTTGAAAATATGATTTTTGATAGATCTACAATGCAGCTCATGTATTAAAGTAAAAAATATAAGTATTAATATATTTGATGATTTAAAATATTATTAATTTACATACAGTATAATGAAAAGAATTTCATTTCTAGAATATTTAATAATAACTGATTTATTTTTACGTGCTATTTTTTTACAGCATCACATAATAGATATGACAATAAAAAATCCAGCACATACATACCAAATAATATTCCGTTTAATATTCCATACATCAGAGATAATGTATATAGATACTTATCTACTGATGTAGTGAATGTGAGTAATAATCAGGCAAGTCTTATTCCATTTCAGTTATATTTTATAAAAATTTTCTAAAAAAAACATTAACTTTGCAATTTGCTGGCCTTGATGTTCAATATCAAACATTTGGAGAAGCAATAAGCAAATTTGGATTCAATTTTGCCCGTTCGAAATTCGATGGTATCTTAGGAATGGGTTACCTCGAAATATCTTCCGAAGGAATGACCCCCGTTTTTATAAACATGATAGAACAAGGCCTGGTAGAGCTACCAATTTTTAGTATCTATATAAATCGGTATGTGTCTAACAATATTTTTAAATAGTTTGTCTTTTCTCCTATATAAAATTTGTCTTTCCATGTATTAAAAAAATATTATCTTTCTATATTAAAAAATATATAATCAATACAGAAATCCCTTGTACGCGGTAAGCGGTGAATTGATATTGGGTGGTTCAAATTCTGCTCGTTATGAAGGCGAATTTACATATGTTAATGTTACCCGTAAAGGATACTGGCAATTTACCATGAACAAGTACGTGATTATTTTCTAAATTATGCGTATGTCGATTTATAGATTACATTGGACAATAAAATTTAATTTTTTCTTTTTATCGTGAATATGAACAGAAATTTCGAATTTTTTGTCAGTTAAACACGAATCAGTTTGTTTAACACCTTTTTGATGCCATTTTTTTTAATTATGACGTAATAGTCAAGTTTGAACAACAAATTCATCATTTAATAGACAAAAATATATCGAAAATGACTATTTTATTATTATTATTGTATTGCAAGATGGCATTGGATATCTGATTATTATAATATTTACAATTATTTACAAGATAGATTATTAATACTTACAATTAATATATTATGAAAAACCAAAGCTAATATTCAATTCAATTTGACATATTCGTACCACCACAAAATTATAATAATAAGAATTGGCTGTTTTAATACAATCATTAGGATACATCTTCATTGTTTCCTAATTATATACCATCTAATTAATGCTATCGTAATGTAGGGTTCAAATAGGAGATAGCACCGTATGCGCGAATGGTTGTTAAGCTGTCATCGATACGGGCACCTCCGATCTAATAGAACTATCATGGGATATCGCTATTATTAACGAACTGATCGGAGTTATTGCTTCTAACGACGAAACAATTGTAAATAATAAATAACAACTGTTCGCAATAGCAATTCTTTTTCAACATTCTAAAATAAATTACTAAAATAAATAAATAAATGTTTGATATATTACTAATATGGATTATTAATTCTAAACTTTGTCAAAGGTGGACTGCGACCAGATTTCTAATTTGCCCAATGTTGATTTCGTCATAGGCGGTAAAATATTCAGTCTCATTAGTAAAGATTATATTTTTAAGATAAATATATATCAAATAACGGTTTAGAATAGAAATATTGTTATAAAATCATTTTTGATTGTTTTAAATTGTTTTATAATATTAGGTGTATTAGAAAGTTCCGTCCGTTTTTATGCAAAAAGTATGATTATATTTGAGAAACAAGATGAAAACGTGCATCAATCAAAATATTATCCATCGTTAGCGATGACTTTTTCCCATCTTTCGGGTAGTAAGCGAATTCCGCGGCGAAAGAATGACTCATCTTTGGAGGCTACCCACTCAGAGACCCATTTTTCGATATCTTCATAAGAATTAAAGTGTTCCTCTGCAAGTGCGTGTGCCACTTTCGATCGAAACAAGTGATAGTCGGAAGGGGCACAGTCTGGTGAATAAGCCGTATGGGGTAGCATTTCCCAGCGAAGTGCTTCTAACATTTCCTTAACGAGTTTTGTGACGCGAGGTCGAGCGTTGTCGTGAAGCAAGATTACTTTATGCTGTCTCGTTTCATATTCTGGTCGTTTTTCTTGCAATGCTCGGCTCAAACGGATAATTTATTTTTGGTAGAGATCCCCTGTGACTGTTTGACCAGATTTCAACAGCTCATAGTACACTATACCCTGTTGATCCCACCAAATATAGAGCATTGTCTTCTTTCCGTGAATATTCCGCTTTGGCGTCGATGTCGATGGTTGACCTGGATCGCAAATGGTTTTTCGGCGTTTGGGATTATCGAAGTAGATCCACTTTTCATCACCAGTCACAATTCGGTGCAAAAATCTCTTTCTTTGTTGCCTAGCAAGCAGAATTTCGCAGGTGGTTTTTCGTCTTTTGTCCCTTGGCTTCAGTTCATATGGGATCCATTTTCCTTCCTTGTAGATCTTTCCTAAGGCTTTCAAACGATTGGAAATAACAGATTGAGTACAATTTAATGTTTCTGCAAGTTGTTTTTGCTTTTGACATGGGTTTTCATCCACCAATACCTGCAATTCTTCGTCTTCAAATGCTTTTGGCTGTCCAGAACGCTCTTTGTCCTCCACATAAAAATCACCACTTTTAAAGCGTCGAAACCATTCTCTGCATGTTTTATCGGAAGGAGCACTATCACCATAAACTTCTACAAGCATTCGATGAGCTTCAGCTGCAATTTTCTTCCATTTGAAGCAAAAGATTAACATTTCGCGCAAATGACGCTTATTTGGCTCAAATGTCGACATTTTCGATGCGGTAAAAAGCAATGTTATTGATGCAAACGTATATTTTTATATACTGAATTTTAATGACAGATGATAAAACTCAAAAATTAAGCTTGGTTTAGACATTAGAGTTATCAACAATTCTAGCTATAGTTACTCGTCGCTAGATGGACGGAACTTTCTAATAGAAAATATATTATGCTTGTTTAATTCATTACAGAATAAACAAAGTGAGATGGAATGCGTAAGCTTCTTTCAGAATAATTATGTAGAAAATCTGATATGGATTTTGGGCAATGTATTTCTTCGACGATACTATACCGAATTCGATATGGGACATCACAGAATGGGATTTGTCCCTGCAAAATAATTATCGATTGATTTTTCAAGATTATTTTTAAATGTTAGAAGATTTAAATGACATAGTAATAAGTGAATAATTAAGACAAATTTTTTTTAATAATGATTTCTATTCATAGCTTATTTTCCATTTATAACTTATTTATATATTTCAAACACATTTCCTAAACAACATTATTCTAAAATAAATAAAATATCTTATATGTATGACTTATATATTATCTATTTTTGATTTTGAGAATACATATTTGATTAAGGACATATATAATTATTATTCGTATTTTACATATTTATAATTATATTCTAGTGAGTTTTAATATTTTAATATTTATATAAACATAATGTTATTATATCTATTATAATCTTATTTATAATCTTATTTATAATGTAATTGTAAAAAAAAAATAATTTTTTTTAATTGAAATATTTATTTTACTTTGTTCCTAATTACATTTCAATATCTTGCCGATTATTAAAAATTTAAGTCTTTACAGCAAAAAAAATCTCAAATTCTTGGAAATGTAGAAAATTTTAAAAAATTTAAAATCATTTTTGACATTGAGAATGTTCTTGGAAATTTCGAAAATATGTAGAATTTTGAAATGGTTCATTGCAATGTATGATTATTCAAGCTTAAAGCGTTATAACATTGATTAAACTATCCTATCAAGGGAATAATATTCTTTCAAAGATTAATTTTGTCTTTTTAATCATTGAATTTATTTAAATTTGCCGAAACTCATTAATGAGTATATGTGAAATATGTGTATATGAAAAATATAATTTTTAAAAATATTATAGATTAAATTGAGCTATTAAGATTGCCTTTAGAACGTTTCGCGCATTCTATCATATTTTTCACTCTGTTATGAACGTTAAGAACGTACATACATAAGCTCATATAAACATTGTATCTTTTCTATAAACAATATTTATATTGGGAGTATTAATGATTGACCAAGTACGTCCTTTTTCAGTTGTGCGTTTTGACTGTGAAGAGAAAGAGAAATACAACTTTGCGCGAAAGAGAATTACAACGTTCCTAAAATCTTTTTGGTCTTACAGTTTTAATCATCAGGAAATTCGAAAAACATGTTCCGACTTTTCATATTGGTCGCAGCATTCGCCGTGCTGATCAACGCGGAATTGCGAAGGTGAGCTGAGCATATATAAACGAAGATTTGCGACTAATACTTCAACGATAATTAGAACAAATTTATGAAAAAATGTACTTTATATGTCAGATAAAAAATGCTTGAGGTTTTCTTCGAGGCTTACACTTTTTCTTTATCATGGCTTAAATGAGATAAGCATCACGAATATAAAATAACTAAATCATGTGATAAATCACATATCATGTGATACATAAATTAATAAATAAAGATAGTATTTATTTATTGACACTAAATTATTGAGGCTTTATTAATTTTCAAAATTAGAAAGCGTTTGAAGATGACTCAATTTGTATATATTGTATAATATTCGTATACGTAAATAAAATATAATGAAATTTTCTTTATATTACTTCAAGAATTTCGTTATACAAGACAAACTCCATTCAAAGATTGATTGGCATCGATCGTCGACATCATCGTTTAGTTAGAAGTACTAGCGTTGTAAGGAAACATTTATTTAATGATGACAATATTTCATACTATGGCTTTATCACAATTGGAACTCCACCGCAGAAGTTTAAAGTACTTATCGATACTGGTTCCTCAGATTTCTGGATAGCGTCTTCAAACTGTGACAACACTGCTTACTGTGAATATATATTAACATCGCTATTTCTTCAATATTTTGTTTGTTATATATAACATTACATTTATATTTAACAATATTATTATTGCACATACGGAAATAATTTTTATTGCTTTTTCTATTTGAATTATTCACATCAAAATGATATAATTGACGTAAAGATTCAGAATAGGGACGACAGTGCAGATTTTTTCTATCGCTTGTACCTTTTCTATCTATAGTAAAGTTTAAAATAGTGAAAAGAAATCTAAAGATTTTAATGTTAAAAGTTTCAATATTATGAAAATTAAAATCAGCGAGCAGATAAATATGGAGCTAAGTTTCACAATTTATACAAGCGATTTATTTTATTTATAATATCATGCTTATTCTAAGAGTGCAAACGAAACTTTGTCACAAGTTACAAAAGTTTTAATGCAAAATATGTAAATATAAATATACTTAATGGTTTAACAATTGTTAATTATACGTATATTTAAATTAATTACAGAAAAATTAATGTCTAGAATTTTTAACTGATGTACTTTTACTTACTATTTTATATAGGGGCACATAATAGATATGAATATGAAAAATCAAGCACATACGTGAAAAATGATACTTCATTCAATATTTCATATAATAGTGGTACGGTATCCGGATACTTATCTATGGATGTAGTGAATGTGAGTATGTGAGTCATTATCAAGAATACAGTATTCTATGTAGTTTTAATAATAATTTATAAAAATTTCCTAAAAATTATTATATCGATTCCTTGTAGATTGCTGGCCTTAATATTCAAAATCAAACATTCGGGGAAGTAATAAGTCAATTGGGAACCGCCTTATTTTATGCAAAATTTGACGGTATCTTGGGAAT